TCAGCCAAATATACCTGGTGAGACATCGCTGATTGCAATCTGCTCAGTCAGTTCAACATGACCCCGCAGAAGAAGAAAAAGAGTGCACCAACAGGCCAATATCGAGTACACATTCAGTAGTTGTGATGTAGTAGTAGCAAAATATTTTTTTTCTTGTGAAAAAAGGTTATCAAATTTAGTTTTTTGCCAGAACTATGAATGTGGTTTCAAAATGCTGAATAGTTAGTCTTGAATTTGGCTGCTGAGCTTTGGTACCTTTGAAGTTTCGGAGTGGTTTCCTCTGTCAGTGGTAGCGCACGCCTCTCTGCTGTGTCAGTGAGGAGACATACAGCTCTGAAGCAGCAGGTCTGACTGTAAACACCCCATACATGAGCTTGAGGACATTTCTCTCTCTGTACAATCCTGTAGTCCAACACTGCAAAAATATTGGACTTGTTTCGTACGGAGAATACTGGGCACATGTCAACTAGATGTTTGAGCCGGCTCGACTGAGCAATCGTTGAAATCTTGTTGATTTCTGGCATACATTTTGCTATTCCAGAAAAAAACCTTAGTGGCAACAATCTATCCAGTACAACCACAAAACATACTGACTCATGGCCTGTGCAGCATTTCCACATCCATGGAAAAACTGGTACAGTCCTGGAAGTTTACAAAGCTGTGCTTTCTGGCCTGGAAATGTATTGGAAATATTTAGCACGAGGGAAAAGCAGTAGCCTAATGCCTGTGCAAACATGCTAATCCAGGTCTTAATATTGTCTCGCCGGGTGAGGAAGTTACTCAGCCATGAGGGATAGAAATGAGGTGGGGAGCAGACAGAGAAAGTAATAATCCTAATTAAAATCTGCACACTCTCAAAAAAAGTCCAATTCATATTTAATCCTTGCAGCCCTTCCTGTAGCCTCCCATGAGGCGTCATTTTCAAGTTGTGTCAAGAAATGCCTTTGTGAACCTCAATCAAATATAGATTCCATTGTCTAACAGCCGATTGTGAAAAGCTGCTATCACGACTTACGGCTCTGCTAAACCTCCCTTTCTGCAGTTCTTCAACTACACTTTGTTACATAGACAGTAAAGGTGCATTGGCTGGTGGGAATGAAGTCAGGTTTTTTTTGCCAAGGAAGCAGCGTAGAGTAAAGTGCCCCCCCCCCCCCCCCCCTGACAATAACAGGAGGCGACACAAACAGCTCAATCAGTGTTGGGGAGTGTGTCAGAGGGGAAGGGGCTTGAGAGAAGGGAATGCTGGGAACAACGTCAAACATCCTCCATTCCCGAGCTGTGCGCTCATATCTTTGTGTCCCTGTCATCTAGAGTTTCCTCAGCGGATGCTACAGCTTGGAGAAAGGGATCGCTGCTCTTTATCCTTCCACTTCCTTCTCTGCCCTCCTTCAGGCCTTCTGCTGAAGGAGGGCAGAGAGTTTTCATACGCCTAACTGTCCTTTCAGCACCAACATCTGTAAATAAAGAAATCTTCTTTCTTACATTTTATTGAGTTTAGAATCCCCAGTTGTTTTTTATAAATGTCTATAAACTCACAATAGCTACAGCAATCAATGACATCTAACCGGAAGTTCAGCCAACATGCCAATGTCTGATTCGTCATACACTCCACTTCACCCTGCTGCCCCTGATTTTTAGTTTTATTACATTTTTTGAGAGAGAGGTTTTACTGTAGCCCCTTTTTGTCATTGTGTGCCATTCATAGAAGCAGCAAATGCCTCAATAACAATAGCACCCGCTTGTTTATCTTTGATATTAAATCAACACATCACCACTTCAACCTCTGCATTCCTAAATGCTGGCATGCGTGGCTGGGCCTTGGAACCACCGGCTTATAGTTATTTTTACACTTTCCTGTTAAAAAAACACGACGGTCCCCTCACAATGAACTATGATGCATTTCCTGCAGAGTGGATGGAAAACAGTGCCATGTGTTAACATCCCTGCCTTGCAAAACATGAGGGTCAGGGCTGGAAAAAGAGGAGTAACTAATGGGAGAGACCGTACATGGGTCATGTTTGTGCGCCTAATTCTATGTGAAGTCATTTTATTCCATTTCAGCGTTCCTGCCGCATGCTTAAAGAAATATTTAGCCCGCTTGTTGTTGTTTTGTGTCACATCCTGGCCCAGGTATTG